CTCACACCAGCTTTAACTAACTGTTGGTTTCCTTTCCCCCACATGTGTATAAATGCCTGTCGACCATGGAGGACTTTGTTCAGATGCACAAGCTGGAGACCCCCGATGCCTAATCCGACCCTGACTCCAGCCTTCCTTTCCCCACATCGACCTTGACCAGCAGGAAGTGGCTATGATGAGAAAACACCACCCCCTATCCTATAACACAAAAGGCTGGAATGTTAAGAGTCCAGGTCTGCAGACGACCCTCTCCCAGTGTAAAAAGCCTCACAAGACAGGCCATGAGGGCCCTCTTGCAAAATAGGAACTGGCCAGACAGCTACATTTAGAGCTGTCTCAGCACAAAGCTGTTCCCCAGATAATTTTAGAAGATAAACAGGACCCTGCACCCAGACCCACTGTTGTAAGAGCTGTCTCAGTTCAAGCTACTTCCCTTGAAAGTAAAGATTCTTTTTGCCACCTTCCACATTCCCCAGCCCCCTTATAAGAACTTCCTCAGCAGTCAGAGGCTGTTGTTTGCTTTTCTCTCCCCAGCTGAGCTGCCAGCCACCAGCAATCCTAAGAAATAAACTTTGCTTTGCTGGAGTCCTCCTATGTTTCCTGTGGCTATTCCCTGCCCAGCTTTTATCTAACACAAAAAGGAGAGTAAAGTACTGAAGAATCCTATGCTGAAGATTATATTTGTTCATTTAGAAACAAAACCTTCTTTAAAAACAAAACACAATGCTGGGTGTGGTGGTGCACACCTTTAATCCCAGCACTTGGGAGGCAGCATGTACAATACATATACACATCCTGAGGTTTAACTGAAAGCGCAATTGTTGCATAGGATATGCAGTAGATAGTTAAATCTCCCCGATTTAAAAAGTTTTTATACCAGGCCTGGATTGATGGTGCATACCTTTAATCCCAGCACTCAGGAGGCAGAGGCAGTCGGATCTCTGTGAGTTCAAGGCCAGCATAATAAATAAATACATAAAAAATAAAAACAAAACAAAACAAAAAACCAAAATAAGGAGTTGGGTACTCCAGAGGTTTAGGCAAGAGGATTGAAAGTTCAAGGCTAGCCTGGGTTACATAGTGAGTCTTTTTCTCTCTGTATATATTATAATTATATATTAAATGGTCTCATGTAACCCATTGTTCTAGTTTGTCTCTCCATTGCAGTAACAAAACAGTCTGATGAATATCAACTTGGGGAGGAAAGGGTTTATTCAAGTTGGGTACTCCAGAGGTTTAGGCAAGAGGATTGAAAGTTCAAGGCTAGCCTGGGTTACATAGTGAGTCTTTTTCTCTCTGTATATATTATAATTATATATTAAATGGTCTCATGTAACCCATTGTTCTAGTTTGTCTCTCCATTGCAGTAACAAAACAGTCTGATGAATATCAACTTGGGGAGGAAAGGGTTTATTCAGCTTACATCCCCCAGGGTCACAGTTCATTACTGAGAGAGCCCAAGGTAGGAACTCAGGATAGGAACCTGGAGGCAGGAGATGGAGCACAGGCCATGGAGGAATGCTGCTTACCTAGCATGCTTACTGGCTTGCTCCCTGGCCCCTGCTCAGCCTCCTTTGTTATGCATCGCATATGCTACCCACCTGCCCAGGGGTAGCACTACCCACAGTGGGCTGGGCCCTCCCACATCTCTCAACAATCAAGAAGATGCCCCACAGACATGGCCACAGGCCAGTCCAATGGAGGCAATTCCCCAGTTGTGGCTCCCTCAACCCAGGTGTGTCAAATTGACACTAAAGCTAGCCAGCATATCCAGGCTGGCTCTGAACTTGCAATGTGGCCACAATATGACCTTGAATTTCTGGTCCTCCTGCCTTTACCTCCTGAGTGCTGTGATTACAGGTGTACCACCATGCCCAGTTTTTACGGTGTTAAGGATCAAACCCAGGGCTTTGTGCATGCTAGGCAAGCACCCTATGAACTGAAATACATCCCCAGAATCACATTTAATTTTAGCTTACATCATCATGCATGTGCTTAGGGGGGAAGAGATCTCAACTTTATCTCGTGACTGTCATAAACCCTCTAGCTCTTTCCATTCCCAAGGTAAGGTCATTGGTCTAGTCTGGACACAGGAATTACATGAACGTCTGTGGGGACCTAAAGGCCCCACCTTGCAGAGGTCCAAGAGGAAGTTACTGGGGGCGGCCTGACTTGTTTTGAAAGTCTGAGGGATACTTCCGCACTGCTGAGGAGTGCATGATCATCCTTAAGATATACCCTCAGGGGAGAGGGGGATTTCCAGATGCCTTTATAAGCTCTATAACGCCTGTAATAAATGAGTCCCTGCTTGACTAGACTCCCTGTTGTGTCTGATTGTTCCCGGTGCTGGGGGCAGCAAAGGCTGGTGAACGGTGTGCTTACTCATCCTCGTGCGGGGGTCGCAGGCTCGAACCCCCCCACCCCCGCAAATGTCCTTATTGTTTTGCTCGACTTGAGGAGATTGTTGGTGTCTTGGCACCAAGGGCATTCTGATCTTTGACAGAAGGTTGGAGGTGCCTCTGTTCACTCTTCCCTGGGACCATGTCTTTCCCCTGCCTCCATCTTCCGAATGGCCCAGCTGCCCACATTCACCTGGAGTCTGGATTAAAGGGTACACACCTTCAGTGAGAAACAAAGCTGTGTTTGGGTAAATAGCACTGTAAAGGGAGGGGTGGAAGGGCTTTTAATGATCATTCATCATATTACTTCTTTGGAAAAATCTATTCAAAGTTCTATATAAGCAACCTAAAAATGAACTTTTGGAGACCTTCTGGGTCTCAAGTTTCCCATGAGAGTATATTATTATCACACCTTCAGTGAGAAACAAAGCTGTGTTTGGGTAAATAGCACTGTAAAGGGAGGGGTGGAAGGGCTTTTAATGATCATTCATCATATTACTTCTTTGGAAAAATCTATTCAAAGTTCTATATAAGCAACCTAAAAATGAACTTTTGGAGACCTTCTGGGTCTCAAGTTTCCCATGAGAGTATATTTTTATTATTATTATTATTATTATTATTATTTTCAAAC